GGGCAGTGTGTAGAAGAGGAGATATTCGAAGAGGTGCCTGAAGGTGAGGCAGTCACATGGTGTTCACCCTTGGTTGTTCAACCGAAGCCAAAGTTTAACGCTGTAGACAAGGAGAAACTTGAACCGCACAAGATCAGGGCCAACATGGACCTCAGGGTACCAAACCAATTCATGGAAAGAAATAGGATCACCCAGGGACCGATTGTTGAAGACTTCATGTACAAATTTCATGATTGTACTGTCTCCTCCAAACTTGACATGCAGCAGGGTTACCACCAACTCTTACTCGATCCAGAGTCTGGGAAAATTGCCACTTTCAACACCCCATGGGGGAACATGCGTCTGAAACATCTGATCTTTGGAGCAAAAGCATCACAAGATCTCTTTGATGAAGCTATCTACCGAATATTTGGAGACTGAGTGATACCAAGATGCCTCAACCAATGGGATGATATCCTGCTAAGAGGAAGAAACATGGAGGAACACAACAAGACATTGGAAGCAGTCCTGCAGAGAGCAGTGGATTTTGGAATCACATTCAACCCTGACAAGTGCCAGTTTGGAGTCCAAGAGATAGAGTTCTATGGCCACAAATTCACAAAGGATGGATAAAAGCTAAACCCAGAGAAAATCAGCGCTGTAAAAGAAAGCAGCCCACCAAAATCAAAAGAAGCTGTGAGAGGTTTCCTTGGCATGGCCGGATACCTATCAAAATTCATCCCAAGATACGCATCACTAACTGCACCCTTGCAAAAGCTGACCCTTAAGATACAAAGTTCAAATGGGGAGCAGAAGAGAATGAAGCATTGGAGATAATAATGCTAAAAGCAAGCATAACAAGTGAAAGCACAATGGCATACTTCAACCCAGCTAGACCAACCATTGTGAGAGTGGAAGCCAGCTTCCATGAAGGGCTCTCAGCCAGATTATTCCAGGAGACAGGCAGTGGTCTCCAGCCAGTCCACTTCATTAGTTGTACTATGACTGACACAGAGAAATGGTATAGCCGGACAGAGAAAGACGCCCTGTCCACACATTGGGTGAAGAACAGGTACAGCATTTCCCTCCTTAGAGCACCAAATATTCAAGATCATCACAGGTCACAAGCCACTGCTCCCATTGTTTAACAAGTGGCTCCCACCAAGAATTGAAAAATGGGTCATGGGAATGCAAGACTTTGACTTTGAGCTAATCTATGAGCTCAGAAAGGATGATGCTGACCCACTCAACTTCCTATCAAGACAATCATTGCCAGAGAAATGAAAGGATGCTGTAGAGAGAGTAATCAAGTACATTGTGACAGCTGAGCATGCTGTCATTGTAGATCAGATCAAGGAAGACATTGCGCCATTCTACAGTGTACAGAATGAGTTGTATGCAGTGGATGGGCTACTCTTCTGAATGAATCAGATTACCATCCCCAGAAGCCTACAGAGAAAAGTCATCAAGGCTGCACATCTCCTTGGACATCTGGGAACGACCAAAACAAAGCAAATGATGAGAGCAAAGTATTGGTTTCCAACCATGAACAGTATGGTAGAACAGATCATTGGTCAGTGTCATGAATGCCAGGTTACCACAAAGCAACATAGGCAGGAACCCATCAAAGTCACAGACACAACCAAGAAACCATGGGATGTCATAGCTGTAGACTTCAGTGGACCCTACCCTGATGGCCATTACAATCTAGTAGCCATAGACCAGAGAACAAGATATCCTGAAGTCACGAAGACCCCCTCAACAGCTTTTCAACCAACCAAGGAAAATCTCAAAACAATGTTCGCCACTCATGGCATCCCAAGACAGCTCAAAAGTGACAACGGACCACTGTTTAATTCTTGAGAATTTGCAGAGTTTGCTAAAACAGAGGGATTTCACCATCTGGGAGTCACCCCAGAACATGCACATGCTAATGTTGAGGTGGAAAGCTTCATGAAGCCGCTTAACAAGACGGAGCAGATTGCTCACCTCAAAGAAGGAAATGGAAGCATAGCTATTCAACTTCACTGTAGAAGGTCATGTGCTGTTGAAGCAAAAGAAGAGGAACAAATGGTCCACAGCATATGAACCAGCATTCTACATCGTAACTCGAACCGATGGATTCAGCATTGCAGCACAGAGAATCACAAATATATGGGAAGTGTATCGAGATGCAAGCCAGTTCAAGATTGCTAATGCGTTAATCCAGGACAATACCAGCGAAGAGAGGGATGACCGTGAAGAGGAACCAACCTCACAGGATTGGAGAGAGAAAATCCTGCTGAATGCCAACCCTCAGTAAGTCCAAGGTGACATCATTACCAACACAGAGGAAACAGCCGAAACCAGCAGCAGTGACAAAATGGAACAGTACAAACCATCAGAGATCCCAGCAGCTGCAAACAGACCAAGGCGTGATTGGAGATGACCAGACTATCTGACAGACAATGTTACCTAGACTTAACCAAGCTCATGCTCACCGGACATACTGTAGACATTATACTCCTGAAACATTTTCCGTTTGAGCTTAGAGCATTGGACATTTAGGACGTTGTTTTCTAGTTGCAATTTTTATTAATTTTCAAGGAAGACTGTCTCAGGAAAAGGGGAGAAATGTAATATCAAATCCAGCATTCCTTCAATTCCAGTACAGTTCAGTTTCAGGGTTCGCACAGTCTTGAAAAGTCCTTGAATTTTAGAGGGAGTCCTTGAAAAGTCCTTGAATTCCATACATCCTTGAAAAGTCCTTAAATTCATTGGTAAGGTCTTGAAAAGGCCTTGAATTTTCTCCAACATAAAATCTTTAGGGGTCGAAGAAAGTTTTTTTGTTTAGATCAGAGTATTTTTTCATTTTTTTGTCGCAAGAATAACCTAGACACAAAAGCAAAACCGAAATGTGAGCCAAACTGCGATTAACTGCGAGCCGAAACCAAATTGACCAGCGGTTGTGTGTATGGCTTGTCATGCTCATGCACATGTCACATGGAGCTTGTAATTGCGGAGTTTTTCAAAACGTTCTGTTGTTGGAGGGTATTTGCTGAAAAAATGCCTGGAAAGTGTACATTTAACCCCAAATGGTTAACTAAGGAAGAATATAAATGGGTCAGGCAAGTAAAAGGCGATTTGCGGAAAGCATTGTGCATAGTGTGCAACAAAACTATCGCTTTAACAACGATGGGCGAGAGTGCACTACGTTCGCACATGGCAGGAAGTAAACATCAGACATCTGTAAAGTCGAATGCAACAACAAGTACTGTGAAGCCATACTTAGCGAAAGAAGTTTGTGAGGTTCAGAGCAGGATTTCCGCAGCAACTGTGAATCAGGAAAAGGTTGATACTGGTACTCTTGACAAAGATGCACCGATGAACATTCCACCGCCTCCAGCCACGAATGTTGCACCATCCTCTGGGAGGTCAGTTTCTCAGTTTTTTAGCAGAAACGATGTACTGAAGTCTGAGGTATTGTGGACTTTGAAAACCATTTCGAGTCACTGTTCTTATAATTCTAATGAAAACATTGAGAAAATTTTTCGTGTTATGTTTCCTGATAGCCAAATAGCTGCAAAATTTACTTGCAGATCAAGAAAAACATCCTACCTATGTGTTTTTGGTTTAGCCGAATACTTAAAGGAAATGTTGATGAAAGCTGTAAAAGGATATTTCACGATTCTCTTTGATGAGAGCTTAAATAAGAAGAGTCAATCGAAGCAAATGGACATTCACGTTCGTTATTGGGAGGGTGACAAAGTTGTCACACGTTACTTTGGCTCACAGTTTTTGGGTCATGCAACTGCCAATGATATGGTCAAGCATTTTGAGGACAGTGTGGTGAACAGTGGACTTCCTATTTGCAACCTGGTACAAATCAGCATGGATGGACCTAATGTTAATTGGAAGTTCTTTACAAATATGAAGAAGAAACTATCTGATGATTTTGATACAATTTTGATAAACATAGGATCATGTGGACTCCACATTGTGCACAATAGCTTTAAAACTGGAGCAACTGCAGCAGAGTGGAAAGTGGAAGCATTGCTGTCAAGCCTTTATTATCTTTTTAAAGATTCACCTGCAAGGCGGGAAGATTTCTTACAGATTTCTGGCAGCACCAGGTTGCCCCTCAAGTTTGTGAATCACAGATGGCTGGAGAATGAGACTGTTTGTGAAAGAGCTCTAGAACTGTGGGAGGACATACTCAAGTATGTGAGAGCTGCTGAATCCAAGCAAATCACAAAACCAGGGAACAAATCATATGAAACAATTGTTGAAGCTACCAAGGACAAACTAATCAGAGCTAAATTGCAATTTTTCAAGTGTGTAGCAGGGCAAATTCAACCATTTTTGGTTACATTTCAAAGTGACAAACCCCTAACACCCTTCCTTTCTAGTGAACTGTGCAACCTCCTAAGATCATTAATGCGAAGGTTTATGAAGAAAGAAGTTTTGTCAGAAGCTACAACTGCTGATAAGCTTGTCAAACTTGACGTCACCGATAAACAAATCCATGTAAACTACAAAAAGATTGACATTGGTTTCTTAACTGAAAAGGCACTAAAAGACTCTGTTGGAGCAAGTGAAAAGCAAGTTTTGGAATTCAGATTGCAGTGCAAGACCTTTCTGATAGAACTTCTACAGAAGCTTTTGACCAAATGTCCTGCTTCATATTCCTTGGTGAGAAATTTGAGTGCTTTGAACCCCAGAGAGATGGCTTCTGATGCAGACCAGTCCATATCCAGGTTTAAAAGGGTTGTATCCCAACTTGTGAATGTCAGAAGGATCAAAGAAAGTGACTGTGATGCCATAATCCAGGAGTACACTAGTTTTCTGGACAACATACCAGCCTTTGGATCTGAGAAGTTTTTGAACTTCAAATTTAGTACTGACAGATTAGATGAGCTGTTCAGCACTTATATGAATACCGAGTCTTACCAGAAGTTGTTTAAAGTAGTACAGCTCCTTTTAGTCCTGTCTCATGGTCAAGCTTCAGTAGAGAGAGGTTTCTCAGTGAATAAGGAGCTTGAAATTGAGAATCTAGCAAATCAATCACTCGTGGCTCAACGCCTTGTGTGTGATCATTTAAATGCTGTTGGTGGCGTCTTGAATGTACCTCTTACCCAGCCTTTACTCACCTCATGCGCAGGAGCAAGAAAACGTTATGAAAGGTACCTGGACCAACAACGACAGAACAAGAAATCTGAAGAAGGAAGTCGGAAGCGGAAGTCTTTGTTGGATGAAATTGAGGAACTTAAAGAGAAAAAGAGGAGAATGAATGAGGACATTGACTCTTTAATTAAGTCGGCAGATAATTTGTCTGAGAAGGCTGAATCGACCAGAGATATATCTTTTGTGACACAGTCAAATTCTCTAAGAAAAACGTCCAAAGAGAAGGCAGAGGAACTAAAGAACCTAGAGAAGAAGATGGAGGAGAAACTTCAGGCATTAAAATCCTGTTAATTGAAAAGGTGCATGTTATTTACATTATTTAACCTGTAACATTACACTATTTACATTTATTGGTGGGTCCTTGAAAAATAAATTCGGTCCTTGAAAAGTCCTTGAAAA